TTGAGGAAATTACAAGTCAAAAAAAAAAATCTTGCTTCTCTTACTTAGAAATGCAATTTTTTTCCTGCTAGTGTACGATCATATTTTTGCCAGATGCTTCAAGCAGTTATAATAAAATTACAAAGAACAGAAAAAGCGCAAAGATTTAAATATAAGTCAAAATACGAATGCGAAATAATATTTTTAAGCTCCACATAAATTTTTATCCAATAGGATGTTATATAGAAAATACTCAACAATTTGAGCAAAACTTAAACCAAAATACATATAGGTTTGTTGGAAGTGGAAATTTGAAAATCAACTTACTAAAATTAAAGCCTGCTATATAATTCAGATGGGAATATATTTTGAAAAGAATTTAGGATTTGAAAAAGCAATTTTATTTATTAACCAATTTTTTGTTTTTCAAAGGCTTAATACGTGCGATATTTTGGTTATGTAGAAAGTTCAAGACAAAAGTTGCAAGAAATATTCAGCGCTTCAAATGAAAGCATCTAACATATCCGTAATAACCGTAATCGAATAAAATGGAAGAAATAACACAAAATATCATCATTGATATCATGAATTTTTTTTTTTTTTTTTTTTTTGCCTCTTGTTTTAATGAAAAGATTTTAGTAAGTAATGTCTTTTAGAAACTTCTTAACGAGTGAAATTCTCAGATAGCCTCTAAACTTAAACAACAAAATGCCCCGCTAACAGTTGCAGAATGGTGAAAATTGAAGCTAGTTTTTATGTTTATGTTGCTTTCTCAAACACATACTCTTATTCAGCGCACTCCATATTAGCTTAACAGAGTTTCTCAAATTTTTTTCGAGTGATGACCATTTTTATAAATTTGATTGTTTCGCGGAACACCTAACTCTTGCCCCCTTCGAATAAAATTTTTTTATCAATATAAGTAAACTGGTTACTACCAGATTACTTACATTTTTAAATACAATTAATTAAAATTCATTTAATTTTATGATATTAAAAAATGAACTTTATAGAAAAAAATATTTTTTCAATAATTAAAGCCCATTAAGTGTTTGGATAATCTTAGCTTATTAACTAAAAGAAAATAAATGTTGATACTCAAATCAATGTGATGGATGTGCTTTCTGATTCCTGGATAACTATTCTGTGTTTGGATGTATGCTGATAAGATGCACCACAATCATAAGGTTTTAAAGCCCCCCTTTTTTTGATGACATTGAACAAAATTCTGGGGGTAGGATAAGTAGTAATAAATTTCATAAAATATTAGTCTTGGGGGATGTAATAGATAATTGCCATGTGTAATTTCCAAACTTAGATTTTTAACTGTAGTGTAGTATACTCAGTTTATTTAAAATTTATTTATTTATTTAAATATAGTAGGATCACAAAGTTAGGCTTCGAGTATCATTTGTAGTCAACAGACCACAGATTGAGAAAAGCCGGATTAAAGCCCAGTTTCCATTAGTGCGTTGCGAATGCGTAGCATCCTTACTGCGTTAGATTTGCGTTTACGGAAGTTCGGTGGTTAGTTACATTCATTGCCACCAGATGTCTCTGTATTTAACTTACGGGATTCGGACTCTTAAGAGTCAGTATAGTGGTCAGCGAAGCTGACTTGTGATACCGAAGGGCCTGGGTTCGAATCCCGGAGAAGGCATGGTTGTAACTGTCCGTCCCTTCATAGGAAAGGCGATGGTGGCCCACCTATTAGGTGCCTCCATAATAAAGAGACCACCACATCCGATCTTGTATAGATTAATGGACTGGGTTTCATTTGTAATTGTTCATAATCTGCCATTGAAAAAAAAAAAAAGATAATTATATTCGATGTTAATGGAAATTTTTGTTTATGCTTATGAACAGGGAAAGTAAACCACGTTAGCAATTTTTAGATAGGTAAGGTTATAATGCATATTACGAACACATCTAATTACACAGAAGCTGAAGTAATTTTCAAAAATTTCTTTGAGTTTCTCTAAACGCAAAAAATTTCTCTTAACGAAATAATATAAAATCAAAACTAAAATGTACTGTTACTGCAAAACAAATAAAAAAAGTTAAACATATTTAAAAATAGCTGGTACATTAAAAATACAGGGAAGCTATAAAGAAAGGTTCACAATATTTACACAAACTTTGCTACGCTTATGTATACGGCTTACTGCCACGTGAGATTGTATATTTTTAAAATATGCTCACATTGCGGGAGAAAACAGTATATACAATTTTAGCATTAGGTTCCTTCAGTGTCATAGCTGGATAATTTATTAGAAATTTCGTTTGTTTTAAAATACACTATGCTCAGTTATATTTCATGCCTAATCTATAAAATGTTATTTTTAATTTATGAATTCATATCTTTTTATAGAAAAAGTTATAAAGATAAGCTTTTTTTCTTTATATATGTGTATACCTAAGGTAAAGAAAATGGAAATATTTAATTAATTCCTGTACTTCAGCTGGAGAGGACTGAATTTTAAAGCAATTATTATAAAAGTTTTTAAAAAATGTTTTAATAAAAATGTTTAGGGCGTTGAAAAAGCATAATGACGCATTTAACACAACTGAGCATGAAGAATCACAATCTTTTTCTTACGTATATCAAATTATTTTTTTGGAGACAAGATATTTTCTAATTATAGCAGAATACAATAAGTTCCATTTGAAAGAACGACGTCATCTCAGGCAAATAAGCATCAGAGTGGAACAGCAGCGTCTTGCAGGAAAGCATATGCGAAAGAGAACGCTGCAACTCGGAGGGAGTCGATAGTTTCAGTTTGAGAAAGTTTTGGTTTACAATTAATTTGATTGGACAAGAGGTATCTACGTTGAAATGTTACCTAACATCGAAAAATCTGGAATTTGGGAGAACAAATGAATTTAGGGGGAGATCACCAAATCTAGAATGTTAATTTTGAGATCGCCAATTATTTTTTAAAGCAGCGTTATACTTTCCTACGCCCCGAAATTATTCATGACCTTTCTCAATCTGGTTCCTTTCTTGCTGACGTTTTTATAAATATGTAATGAGTTTAAGATGCGTAGATAAAAACATTGGAACTTTTAACAGCTTTCGGTATTTGGTAGATGGCCGAGAAGACCGCAGTGGCTTGAAGGTAGGGCAGAATGGAAAAGCATGATGACGCATTTAACATAATCTGAGCCTGAATAATTACAATCTTTATTTTTTAAGTATATCAAATGATGCTTTTGCAAACAACATTTCTTAATTATAGTAGAATACAATAAGTTCCATTTTAAAGTACGACGTCATCTTAGGCAAATAAGCATCAGCGTGGAATAGCAGAGTCTTGCCAGCAAGAAAGCATATGCGAAAGAGAACGCTGCAACTCAGAAGAAGGGAGGCATAGTTTCAGTTCGAGTTAGAGTAAGTTTTGGTTTGCAATTAATTTGATTAGAAAAGAGGCATCTGCATTAAAACGTTACGTAACATAGCAAAATCTGAAATTTGAGAGAGATTAATTTAGGGGGAGATCATCAAATCTAGAATGTTAATTTTGAAATCGCCAATTACTTTTTAAAGTAGTTATCGTATTTTGTTATATCTTACATATAACGAATACGAATTTAAAGCATACAGGGAGTATGCTTTAAATTTGTATTATATTCAAACTTTCAAAATAAATTCTTGAAGGACAAATTTAAATAAATAAGAACATAAATAAAACATTATATTTAATGCACATAATAATAGAAATAAATTATAAAACAAATATAGGTCAAATTGGAACACGGAGCGATGAATGATGCAATTAGGGTGGGAAAAAAAAAGAGCATGGGATTCGAACTCACGACCCCAAAAGTCAAATCTCGCTACCGTCAGCTTTACCACCACACTATCATCATACCAATGCGATTAGCAATTTTGGCCTATATAGGTCATCAAGTAAATGAATTCTTAAAACTAAACTTTTTGGCCCTGTTTCAGTTTGCTAAGGACTAAAAAATTCACCAGAATTAGTTTTTCAGCTTCAAGGGCATTTCTCACAAAAACAATTTTAAAATGGCGTTCCGATTGAAGTTAGGCGGTCCCAAATAAAAGATATGCTTGATACTATATGTTAGCCAAAAAAGTTTATTTATAAATGTAGAAATACAAATTTAACATACATTTTAATGCAGTAGAATATTTAATGGGCTATCAAATTTAATTTATAAATAACGGTATTACTTTTTTACCCGTTTCAAAAGAAAAAAGAATAATTTTTAATGCCTTACCTTATTTGCTATATCAGTTTGATATAGTCAAACGTTCATTTTCATTAAAAATAAATGTGTATGCGGAACTGGGAAATAATTGGCAGGACAAATTTTGCTATTTCATTGATTTGGAATAATATTTTTTGCATCTGATTTTCTTGATGGTATCACTGTTCTCTGCGAACTAGTATTGTAGTTACAGTTAACTTATTTTTCTTCTCTTTCTTTTTTTAGACTAAATTCAGTTGATTGCCGTCTTTTTCAGTAGGCAGATTTTTCGCTATAATGTTAATTCAAGAATAAGCATTTTTTAGCAAACATTCTGTCCCTTATCCAGCGTTCATCGTTACTTCTGCCGCCATAGTTTTTGGTGACAACACCGGATTTCTTTTTTACCACGTGACCCCAACGCTTCCGAAGATATACGGATAGAAGTTAAACATCGTTGAACGTCATCCGTCACCGCTCACCGACAGGATTGCATATATCAAAGTGAATTCGCTCGCTTTTTGGATAAACGCATACGCATACGCAGTAGTGGAAACAGGCCGCAATACACAAGGCATAAATGTGGTTCTTCGATTATCTTATTTGAGCATTTTTCAATTAAAAATATGAATGACATTTCATGTCATATTATTTAGAACAATATCATATTTATTTAGAACTATAAAGTATTTGGGCTTTAATGGTCGATTTTATTCCGAGATTCTGGTTGCAAATGTGTTAAAATGGAATGGAATAAGACATCGGAGGTTGGGTGCATGAAGAAAAATATATAAGAAAAAACAAAACTGTAAAATTTATTACATCACTTTATTTATAAATTGCTTTATGTACATGATGAAATGGACAATTACGTTTCATACGTAATGTTTTTATGAAAACAATTATAAATATGGAAAGTTTTGATACAGAACGAGCTGTCTCAAAACACCAGCTGGACATTACAATGAAAATATACAGCTTTAGAATCTCTCAAATTTGAAAGCCACAGAGTAGGCCTTCCGATAGGGCTTTAAAGGGTGCAATAGACTTGGTACAAAGGGGAATGCTGAATGTCTTGAAGCACCCAAAATTTTAGATAACTTCACACATTCTTAAGAGTGTTGTTTTTCAGAATTCTGCAAAGTAAAAAAGTACAAATAGGCAAAAAAGGAATTACTTGATTTTATCGTGAAGAAATTACACATTTCTTCAACTTTTTGTTGTTCTGACCGGAAATATCATTCTTCCATGGAAGTCAGGAGCTATGCAACGCCCACAATAGCGTACATCGCCAGGATGAGAACGATAAGAAAGATGACATAGATTCCTAAAAGCATAAGGCGGAACACACTTTCCTAAAATAACAAGAAAAATATTATTTAAAATCTCATTTTACCATCAATCATCATAATTAATAATGTTTATAACATACTCATTTGACATTACAGAAGTCCGATTCTGATCACTAAAGAAGACTTACAATAGCGGAGCTATGTAAATTGCCGATAACAATACAGTGTTTGCACTTATGTATAAGCCGCCACTTGTTACTGAGTGGGCAACTTGTTTATTTAAATTGATAAAATAAGATTTTTCGAACCTTTGCTAAGTCTTTTCAGGGACACCGGTAGTTTATCATCACTCCTATATGAAACCATACTTATCTTCATAGAGCTTTCCTTATTAATTTTTGTTTCGAATGAGCATACAGTGGTGGCCAAATTTGTGGACAATTTTGGAAATTTTTATGTTTTTGAACTTTGGATGCTTATAGAAAATGTTACGTCTCGCAAAATGCAAACTTGTATATATCATTTTAAAGATAATTTATTACTGAATTCAATACAAAACACAAAATTCAATTATTTGCAATACAAAAAAGGTTATATGTACTTTAATATAAATAAAAAACACAGTTATGAAGTGGTTTGTAATGTCTAGCTTTCCTGGCCAATCACTGTTCTTGTTCTGAGAACCAATCAAATGTTAGTAACTACCAGTAGAAGCTGACATCATGCTTACACTTGAAACAATTCATTATTTTGCTTTGTTCTGTAGAAGGAGGACCTGTTTCTTATACACTGCAATTACAAGTAGGAATTTTTGTAAAAATTTTAAATATTTAGTCAAGAAGCAATGACATCAAGTAAAAGAGTAGATTGGACACCTAGAAAGAGATCTAATATTATTGTGTTACGAGAAAGTGGTCTTTCCTATGCTGAAATTGCAAGACAGGTGGGTGGTTCAGTGACTACATCTGGAGTCTGAAAGTTTTGTTTACGATATCAGGAGAAAAATTCAATAAAAAACAAAGAAGGAAAAGACCGAAAAAGGTACACCACATCTATTGATGACAGAAGAATAAAAAGACTATGTCTCCAAGATAGAAAAATGTCATCAGCGGCCATCAGAAGTGATCTGAATGATGCTGGTGTTTCTGTCAGTTCAAGAACAATCAGGAGAAGATTAACAGATGTTGGACTGAGAGGTAGGATTCCACGAAAAAGCCTTATCTTAATTTTCAGCAACGAGGAAAAAAAAAAAAAAAAAAAAAAGACTACAGTGGGCAAAGGAACACATTAATTGGACAGATGATCAGTGGTCGCAAGTTATATGGAGTGATGAAACTAAGATATCGTTATTCGGTAGTAATGGGCGAAAATATGTAAGACGTAGAATAGGAGAAGAGCTACATCCTGACTGCATTCAAGCAACTGTGAAGAACCCAGTTAGTGTTATGATTTGATCATGCATGTCAGCAGATGGTATTGGTCGCCTTCATGTCATCGATGGGACACTGAATGCCAGAAAATACATTCACACTATTCTAGAACCAAAACTTCTACCTTCCATTAGAGATCACTTTCCCAACAATGCTTCGTTTATTTTTCAGCAGGATTTTGCTCCTTGCCACACGGCCAAAATATCGAAAGAGTGGTTTGGTACAAAAAGCATTAAATTATTGTCATGGCCACCACTGTATTTATAAGTTAGCCATCACTTTATGACTCTAGATTATAGCTCTGTTAATAAGTGTGTAATAATGGCGTGCAGAGGAGAATTATGCTGTCCAGCTACATTTCAAGTCATACAGATGCTTTGAGCTTTTGATAATTTATGATAAACAAACAACTATCATTGCCGTTCACGTTCATGAATAATCGTAATTACAAGAAATACTCTGTGAACAACATGCATAACTGTATTCTTTTCCCAATGACGAGGTCTAGCCGTTTATAGGCGTTGGATACTACTAAGGAAGGAAGCGGTAGTCTCTTTATTATGGAAGCACCTAATAAGTGGGCCACCATTGACTACTATGAAGGAACAGACAAATTACATCAACTACATCTGGGATTTGAACCCGAACCCTTTGGTAGGGCAGTCAGAATCACTAAACACTTTCCCATCTGGGCGGCGCATAAATGTAAATAATGATTAAAATCTTTGTCATTGATTCTAATGACAGAGCTATCGTCTGAAACAACTCTCCTCCCCTTGAGCCCAGTCGCCTTCACGTGGTGCCACCTGGTTAAACTAAAAGAGTGATACCTATCGCTTTTAAGTAGCCCTCATTGATGAAGTAGAAAAGCATTTTTGATTTGGTGATAGGTGCAAGTTCCTGAGGTTTTAGAAGTAAAGAGAAATGAAGCAAAAAGTCTCTTCTAAGACTAAACCAGCTTTTAATAATTTCTTTTTGGAACGCTGGCGGTTTAACTCCTGACAAATTTACTGAACTGAAGACTATTATTTCTAATCAGGATTTTGACGTAATTGACTTGTCGAGAGTGGAGCCGCTGTAGACAATGAAATGTATTTTAATATTCCTGGATATCAGAAATTTGTGTCAAAGCGATCAAGACAAATTGCTTCTGGCATTATTCATTTTGTAAAACGTTTTAAAGGCAAAGTTAATTGCCTCTCGCCGGATGACTACTAACGATAAATTAGAACTCCTCATAATGCATGTATGGAGACAAGAGACCCTACATAAGATATTCTTCCTGTGCAATACTCCAAATAATAAACCCGATTTTTAAAGAATAATACTCGATTGGGATAGAAATTCCTTTTTACTTGGAGACTTCAAGGCCCCCTTCAACTCGTTGGGATTATTCAAATAGTGTTGGTTGTATAGTGGAAAATCTTATTGATTCCAACCCTATTGAATTCATTGAGAATGAAGAAATTTCTACAGATTTATTCTCTTACAATGGAAGTGTCTGTTACGCTGATTTACTCCTAGCCCACCCAGCTCTGTTATGTAAAATACAGCATGAGTTAATTGATAGTTCCGGTAGTGCTGGACATAAAATATTACTATCCAGTATTATAAGATATAAATCCCCTTACAGGTAGCCTCGTCAGGCTTTCTGGAACCTTAAAAAGGCAAAGAGGTTCAACTATAAAGCCCTCTCTGATAAATTTATAACCAACTCCTTGGTTTAACCAAATCCTGCACATTCTTCAAAACTATTTACCAATGCTGTACTAAAGTGAGCTTCCCTATGTGTCTAAAGAGGACAACAAAGAAATATAACCCTTTTTGGAATGACAAATTGCAGAAGCTTTGTGAAGACAGAACTAAAGCTCGAAATACCGGCCTTAATGAGAACTTTTTAGCTTTGCGTAAGGCACAGGCTATCTTAGAAAAATCAATAGTTGAAGCAACACGTTCCTCGTATAAAAATTTTCTAGAAAAACTGGACTTTAGGAGAGATGGCATAAGGGCTCATATTTTTTTGTCCCAGATAAACAATCAAAACATCAGAAGAAATGAACTTATTAAAAAAGGTTTTAAAGAGATTACTACTGATAAAGATATTTCAAACGCTTTTGTAGGCATTATGTTAGAGTAAGCAATTACAGGCCTACAATTAAAATTAAAAAAGTGAATTGAACCCCCCTCAGGACAACAATTCTACAGTTCTTAAACAACTTTTTAATGATGATTTCTCTATTGGGAAATTGAAAAATAGCCTTGATGCCTTAGTTAACGGTAAGTGCAGGTTCGGATGAAATTCTACCCGAGTTGCTTGTAAATCTGGGAGACTCTGCAAAAATAACTGTTGGCATTCATTAACCAAATTTGGAGAAATAGCTTGCCAAGTGCATGGAGAAAGGCCGTGATAAAAATAACGATTTTCAAACCTAACAAATCGGCTAAAAATATGGATAGTTAACAACCCGATTTGTTTTACAAGCGTAACGTGTAAATTAACCGAGATATTGGCTAACAGGTTTAAGTTTGTACTGCATAAAATTGGTTTAATATCTGAAAAACTGGCGGGTTTCCGTATACATAGATGTGCAGTTGAACAAATTGTACACTTGTCCCAAGAGGTAAAAGATGGCTTCCAAAGAAGGCAAAGTACCCTTGCAGTATTTGTGGACTTTAAAAATGCATCTAGTAGGGTATGGAAAGCTGGACTGGTTAATAAGCTGATTCAAACCTTGTGTCACACGCTATAAAAATGACATTTTAGAAGGACGAGCATTTATAGTTAACATTCACTTTGAATGCTATCTTATTACAGATGCATTTGTTTCAGGGTTTGTTTAAAGAGGAAGACTTTCGTGTGAAATCATAGAAGTAAAAAAAAATTGAAACTTACTGAGGAATTTTTTTCTTGTGAATTATTCTGCATATTATTGTTTCCTCTTCCAGCGTTCATTTCGAGCATTTTAACTTCGCTGTTTTCTGTGGATACAAATAAAATCGATCATTATACTGCGGATTTAAATCTAAGCACAAAATTAAACTGATTTTTTATAAACAGTAGCATAAACAGAGAAAAAAATTATCATAAATTAATTTACTTTTCTTTCCCGCAGTCCAAAAAGCGTGCACGTGAAATATAAGGTGGAAAGCTACATGGACAATTACAAATATTGACATCACCCAATAAAAATTTTCCTTCAAGCCGGAAGATTCGAGCGATACAGCAAAGAATATAGTGATGACTAGGGAGGAAAACTGGATATAAGCAAAGGAAGTAATACGTGGTATTCTTAGAAAATACTAATACACTTACGTAATCTAATTAAAAATAAACAATAAATGTTATTCATTTTATGTACACAACGGGCATACACATAGCAGTTTCTTACTGATGTTTTTAACTTAAAGTTGCAAAGTATTAAAATATATAGTTCTAAAACAGATGCATTTTTCCAAACCTGCAATTATGTGCGCCGAGTTTCCAACTGCCCAGTGAAGCCAGTTAAAAATAGGTCTCTTTGGGTGGTCAGGCGCTGGACGAAAAGCTGCCATTATTGGCTGAATAATAAAATATTTAAAAAAATAGTAAACACTAACGTCCTAGATAAAATGCAATATGTAAAAAATAAGTATTTTACGCGATTTAAGACTTACCTGAAATAAACCTAAAGCTGTAGCAATGCACCCTAATATAGCATGAGGATTTCTGGTTTCCTGGAAAGTCAAGCAGCAAATATGAAGCACATGAAACATATGTTTATACTGTTTCAAATTAGACATTATAGGAAAATTCAGCTTCAGCAGCGTTTAGAGCTTTTCAAGGTGGAATAAATTTTATTTACAATGATATTAATTCCCTAAGAGACAGTAACTTCCATTTGGAATTCATTTAGAGAGCAAACAATGCTCATTTATGTTCAAAATGTTTTTCAGAAAGTTAAATTCTTAAGTACTCGTACATTTATGTGGCCGAAGAGAGACCATAAGACTTTAATAATTACTTTTGTTAGCTCTGATCCCGTCATTATCACTATTACAGAACTTAATATGTAAAGCTAAGTTTTATTTATGTTACGTGAGACTACAGCGAGTCAAAACTTGCCGCTTTATTACAAAAAGTTCTGTATTAAGTATGAAAAACTGAAGAATTACATAGCTATGCCGGTTTCCTTCAGATCTTTGAATGCTTTGTTTAGTCAAAGCCAAGAAGTGCTTAGTAGTGTGAAATAATTCATTTTCACAGCAGACGTGCGTCTAAAGAGTATCTTCATATTAAAAGAAAATAATTTCAAGAGGTAACTATTTCCTTAAAGAGAGTTTTATTTTAATCAGCTACTTCCTATGACAGTATATTTTGAAAAAATTCTAACATTTAATATACATTTGAAAGTTTTCTTTATTAATTTTTAATACCCAAAAAATGACATCAATAAAATATAAAAAATTTCATAAACTTACGTAATTCCATCCATTCTTGTAAACAAATATTACAATAAAAGCTATAGCAACAAAAATAAGGGCGACGATCATGAAAGCTCTGTGAAGCTAGAAAGAGAAAAATACTGATATGTGAGCTATTTAAGGCGTGAAATATCAAGTAATGCAAGCTATGTATTGCTATTAAAATTTCACATATTTTCACACAAGTTTTAAATTACGGAACTTGCAGGAAATTTTCTGTTATTTTTACGCCTCTGGTAACATGCATATTTTTAAATTTACGTTGTTTGAGACAATTAACTCTTGCGACTATGCACATATGCTTCAATATGCTCTTCCACCGAATATTCAAAATATTATATCAGAGTTATTTTTCACCGCATTTTATTTATTCCTCTTTACTTTAGTTGTCCATCTCTAACGCAGATAACATGTTATAACCTTACTTATGGTGTTGACGATTTTAGAAACGGATTTTAAAAAATATTCAACCTAAAAAGGTCTCGAATTGGATTGGATTATTTAGGTTACGGCAAAGCATACAAGGGCAAGCACTGCCTAAGGGAAGGTATGCCTTCTTGGATGGCTTTTAAAAGGAAATTGTCTCGTAGTCAACTTACACCTAAAAACACCTATGCAGCCAGCCCTTTCTCTGCGATTTGAGATTAGGTCGGTCCATCAGTTCATCATAAAAATTCAGGCCCCATTAAGTCACTGAACACTGGTAGTTCGACATGGGATAGATTCCAGTCAAACGGGCTGGCTGCATTTGCGTTTTCATGGTCTCTCCCCCTGTGTGACATGGATACTCGTCAGTTTCCCTTAGAAAAACCTCCTAAAAGCAGCCCTCCCATCAGGCAGGTAGCCATTGGGAGCTTTGACATAATAAAACCCAATCTAAACTTGGGCCGACCTACCCGAGTCAACTATGCAATCGCCAAAGGAACTACCAGTTTGATTTTTTATTTCATTCATTTTTTAATCTAGTTTTAACTGTAGATTGATTTTGACCTCTGCAACCAAAATTTAATACATTTTTTAAAGTTCATAAAATTTTCTTTCTGTTACTGGCATGAATATGTTCATTCATTTTCTTCAGAAGAATATTCATTATAAATGAGGATCTGTAAAACTGCTAAAGTAGGAAAGCAAATTTGCTTCTCGAAAGAAAGAATTTTTTCGTATCTTCATAATCTGAAGATGAAACTACCTAACAATATTAATACATTTTGCCTTTTCAACGTCATAAAGTGACACGACGATGCTTCAAATAAGTTCAATTGAGGGTTTATTCGATTAGTTTGTTGATTAGTATGGTAAAGAACACGAGATCTATTTGTTAAAGAAGGGGATGCTATTTAGCAGAATTTTTTCACGGAAATTTGTCTAGTACTCATTTTACACATAACTACCTAAATCTCATTTACCAGTCAGTTCAATAACCGAGAATTAGAATCCGAAACAAAATATTAGATTGTAGTAGATTTAACCTCTCGGTCACTGATTAGCCAGTGATGTTCTCGAATTTTATTTTAGGTAATAACAATTGTTTCTGGACTACTATCATAAAATTGGATAACATTTTCCTTTCATAACCTTTGAAAGCATTTTTTCACAAAAAGTGAACAGAAATTTACGCATTAAATCTGACTTTTCTTTTTCTGATTCGTATATTTAGTTATGACAAAGTTAAACTTTGAGCATCTAAAAGGAAAATGTTCACCAGATAAAATTCTGAAACTCATAACCGAAATTTTAAAATATATTATTTTTAAAATTTTCAGCCTTGCATAAAAATTCAGGCTTTCTTTATAATCACGCTTATAACTATCTCACTAAATGAGTTCATGTGTAAGTGTAAGAATTTAATTATTAAAATTCCATATTTTATACAGAGTTAAATTTTTTAGCTTTAAGTGATGTTTAGCGAACAAATCATTAAAATATTCGACATATTAAATTCCAAAGGAAGACAGTTCTTTTTAAAAAATCAGTCACTCTGATCCTACATTTCATCATTTTTATTTGCCAAATACTTGACTTTTGAAGGCCAATGTTCATTTGAAGTTAGAAAAAAGCACAAGTAGAAAAACAACCCAAAATAGAAAATATATATCTCTTCAAATTAGTAATAAAGGCACTCGAATGATGGTATAGATTTCGAGATTTATACTTCACTATTCAGACACGAAAATTCTAAATTTCAGGATGAAATGACGATGAATGAGATTTTCACGAGATAAATGAGGTGAATGAATAAGATTTCATGTTGAAATTTGAATCTTTAAATTAATCCATAACTCAAAATTGAAGGACTACGTTATGCCAAATTTACGTTTTACTGCTCACACTCGAAGTACTGGCACCTCGAAGTGTCAAAACCCGAAATGAGGGGTAAAGAAAGCTAGACACTTCTGATTTTACATACTAGCTCTCCGCTCATTGTCAACCACCAAGCAGCGTATCAAACATCCCATTCCTTTTGTATTTCAGTTGAAAAAGTGCTCAGGACTACGGAAATGAATACCTTATTGCTGAAATTAAAGAACGAGACCATACGTAGGCAGTGTAACTAGGCGGTCGATATGCAGTATGCCCAGGAAAGCTTCTTAATCTTTTGTACTCGTCAGAAAAAGCACTTCCGTACGATGAAAATTGACCAAGATATTTAAATTTCAAAATTTGAGATATTTGATGCCATTTTTTAATTTTTATTGAAGGCATCGTTTAATAAATTGCAGTAATTCGAGATTGATTTTTTTCTCCTTCAATGCCATTTAATGATATTTTGTGATTTGATAGTTCTTTAATTTATAAAATTGTTACATTCGGTATGCCGAAATTATTTTCACACATGTACTTTATAAACTTTCAAAGAAAAAAACACGTTATGTACTCAAGTTTTATTACTTTAGAATCGTAATTTGGTAATCATAAAAATTCATTGAAGTGCAAATATTTTTCATTTAAAATTAATGCAAATAACATTACGAGTTGATTACCTGCCAATATTGAAACCTGACGGTGTCTTCTATCTGTAATCTGTATCGACGGAACCTACGGATTTGTATCTACAGAAATCTAAAATTCTGGGAATAAGGTCTTTTTGAAAAAAAATTATACTTACAAATTTTTCTTAATAATCTGCACAGAAATGCATATCACGTAATCTTTTATTAGAAATCTTTTTCTAAGTGATATTTTATTTTTAGTGGTGTGCAAACGCAACACTTCGCTCTTCAGTTTGTGCCAGGCTCCTGAATGTAAATCCCGATTTCTGTATCAAATATCTCTCAATTTGTTGCATGGGGGTCACTTTATTACGAATACAAAATTCTTCTATATAAGCAAAGGAACCGAAAGAAAATGTCAAAAGGCAGATTTCGTAATTTTCGCAAAACTAATTTCTTAGAATTTGAAAATGCCAAAATGTAAATCTTTCAAAACAGGTTTGAAAATGGAAGTATATGTCTACGACCAACGGTTGCGGAAATAAAGCCCGCATGGACTTTTGTGGACATACTATTTACTGCTGCACGATAAGACATGGTTCCATAAGGCAAAGCAACCAAGAAAAAAGTCATTTTCCTTGGGTTCAATAAACTCATGAGCAGCTTATTCGTCAACACTTAGCCCCTTCAAATGAAATCTGGTTACACTGTATGATCATGTGGGTGGATACGCTGTTTTAAACACCTGAAGAAATTAAATGTAACATTGTTAAATTTATCGGTTGAAACCCGCCGTTTTCCCTTCTGTTCATTCCATGAAAACCGTATTTTTCATTTTAATGATTTTAATAAACATAGAAAACGATAGAAATAATTTTTAAGCTCTTTACAAAGTTACATATTGAATTTAAAAAGCCACAAATTTGGGCACCCGACAGAGAAAATTCACTCAGCGGAAGATCAATACCTCTTACTTGGGATAGAAAATTAAACCCAAACAAATTAGAGAAGAATTAAAAACTACAGAAGATAAAGCAAACACAAGGCAATAGAAGCAACTGCGAAAAGCAGCATGCAAATTAAAGGGATTTTCACATATATCACCACAGCAAATGTTTTGATAAAATTGTAAGCAATGGCCGAAATAAAAATCGGCCAGAAAGTAATATTTAGGTAGCTTGAATGCCAATAAAAATTTGAATGCATACTAAAGTGTCAACAGATGATTATTTAGATTACTTGCCAAAAATCATTAAAAAATGGAAATGAAATCGTTATTCCCATTTTCCTAAACATTTCATTCTACGGAGTTTTTATCAGTAATTAATGAGCTTAAAAGACCATTCAAACTGACAATGTTTCGTTAAGCGGTATTAGAAAATGTGACGTAAAGTATAGCAATGAAAATTATATTTTAAAAAGTGGATCTAAAAGCAGAATGTATATACCGTATTTAAGTGCATATTTTTCTCCCTTGGGTATTTTCTCTCGTTTGTTTCAGCATGATTTAGAAACTTCCAATTCACGCTGTAACAATGCAAAATAAATGCACAGACAGAAAATTTCGTGTAATTAGAGAGATTATTGAAATTTAAAAGTCCTTTGAAATACATATGTATGTTTTCTTTATAATATAATGTCCGATGCCTTTTTAACAAAATCGAAGGGCATAACATAATTTATGCCTTTTTTAACAAGAGCGATTTCTAACATACAAAGGGATTTTTTTTTCTCCCAGCTTTTAAGTGGTAAAATTAGTACAAAAAGTGGTGAAAATACGAGTAAATAACGGTATTAATATCAAGCTTTCAAAAAGAAATTAAAAAGCGGAATAAGCTCTCTTAAGATTGGAACTTCAAGTTTCTGGAGGGAATTTCCATTTACTGCATTTTGGATTCTCGATCCCAAAACCAATTTGTAACGTTTATATAATTTGGTACACTCGTATTTTAGAGAAGAGTAGAGTTCTACTTGCACACGTGAACATATTTTTAGACTGCCACCTTCGCAAAAAGTATTTATAACTTAAAATGAGAAGAAATGAAAAGTAATGATCGAAAGGAAACCTGCAGAATAAATTCGAAGGCACATTTTGACATGCAGTAAACATGTTAAAATCGCTTGAAATCCTAAAATAAAATGTTTTCCGAAACAACGGAATGTTTTACTATGTGAGATACCAAGCATTTTATATTTTCAAATACACATCGATTATTCTTTTAGTAGTAAGTGTTAATACTTACAGCAAACCATATCTTAACTCCACAGAGTGTACGATTTTCAAATGCAGACTTGAAATGGCGGGCAAGTAATATTCCTATACTAACAAAGCCAACCCATGCTGTAATCATGAAAGTGCCTAAAGAAAAATTAGGTAGTCAGGAACCACACGAAATTTAGATATGCACAGTTACTTTCAAACAGGTTTTAATATTTGCACATAATTTCTTTTTCACTTTCTAAACATCTTTTGAGTAAAATAAAGCGAATCTGAAGAAAATTTATAGAAAACTGATTTAGAGAGGTTATCAGCCCTTTCTATTTTTCGTAGAGTAATACATAGTAATAGTGGAATACTTTTATACAATACAGTTTTTCTGAAATGTGCTATCTCAATGTTGTTTGAATTTAAGTTTGCAAAGGTAAGATTATTCATTCTTGGAAATTAAACGTAGTTTTTAAAATGATCGATACTATACTAAACTACGGAGTTCAGCGAGAGATTCAATTATTTTTACCTATATAAATCTCATGCATTAGTGGCTTTCTTGCATGTTTGGTTTGTAAAAATAAGCAAAATTTTGCATTACTTGTTTTCTTGAACTGTCTAGAAAGAAAATCGTGACAATTTAAACGATACTGTTTTGTTAGATGCAAATGTTTTGTAATAATAAGGTTTAAAAAGTTTGCATGAATATGACTTAAATAAAGAAAGCAAAAATTGGTTTCACAGTTTATTTCAAATATATACCAAAAGTTATCTTCTTTCTTATAAACGTAAAAAATTAAAATGAGGATTTTTTGGTGAAATCGAAAATTTTGGCACATTTCATTGATTCATTCTTCTAAAAATTTAACATTTTAAAAACATTTAAATATTAAAATAAATATTAAAAGTATTGGTACAAATAAATTAGAAATTTTTGATATTAAACATTAACAAACTGCTTCCAATAACACATCTGCAATGCCTGTCCTAGAAGAGTTATTAAGCAAAGCAAAATGCTCGTGCTTGATCGAGAACTACTGTTCGTATCGCCTTCAATAGTTTCTTTAGGTTCAGACTCATCTTTTGAATATAGCGTTGAACTGTCTGGCGACATACCTGTAACAAAGGAATTTTTCGAAGTTAGTTCTGAAGATGCTCCAAGATATGAGAGAATTACCTGTGATGAGAATTTCTCAAATTTTGAAACTTAACGAGATTTACGCTATCTGAATATGGAATACTATAATCAATTATCAGCGGACTGAGGTAAAAATCAAAAGCAAATAAATATGCCTGTATGTAATGAAATACATAAAGCAAAAACAGTACTTTTCAGTAACATTTTTATAGTAGATTATGATACTTCCTAGTAGAACTTGTATGAAGCATTTTTTTTAGTATAACTCAAAAGACGCAGCAAGTTTAAAGAATGAGTTTAGCAAGGCTGATTACAGCAAAGCACTGGGCAGCTATGTCTAAAGAAACACACATTAGGTGAGGTTTTTTCCAATATTCAATTGTGTTAAAGCATTCAAAAGCTGTCTTCAAACTGTCGATGAAGGAAATCGAGACAATCCTATCCTGCCAGAACTTTGCTGGAAATCACTAGCAGAGTTAGCGATTTCAGAAACTCGGCTTTGCTAAACCGATTTAAGTGATATTTGCAGAATTCGTAATGCAATAAAGAAAATTACAGTTGCCAGATATTACAATTAAATTGCTTTCAAAAATTCTGCATACTCGTAGCATAATAAGAAAACGTTTGCTAAATTACTGGTGTTATATAGTAGCAGACATAACTTAATCTAATTACACGTTATTAATTGAACCTAAAGCGTGAAATAAGTAAATGGTAGCGGTTAGTTATGCAAATTAATAATCGTAAAGTAAAATTCTTTAAAGGAGACAAATACCTATTAAACTGTAAAAGGGCAGCTTCTGGTTCACAATACAGGTAGACATTCCTCAATCCAACAATTTAAGACAAAAAAAAGGGGCCTCAAGTATAATGATTACCCCCATTCTGTAAAGGAGGAGCCACTAGGAAACTTTCTAAAACAAATATGATTAATACCAAGGTCAACAGACACACAAGGTTAGGCTCTTTACAGCGCTATAGTCAGTTACATAACTTACAGAAGTAGAAGCAATGATGACTCAAAAGGAGTAGTAAATAGTGGCTTTTGGAGCAGACTGAGTCACTGACGTTACGGAACAACAAACAGTGTATAATAACCTTCACCTTGTAAGATCACAACGTACATCTAACCGCTATCAACGTTTGGTACGCTTCTAAAAGCAATATGATTTTTACAAAAATGAGGACAGCAAAATCAGTATTAAAATAAATCATGTGTAAGCATTATAATCCGAAAGGCAAATTCTGTTTCAGGCATATGATGACATCTATAAAGGCTAGTAGTAGTCATATCATCAGATCTTAATTGAAAGCAACGTTCAAGTTAGTGTCAATAAACGCATCTAATTTCAAATAATGCGCTGCTATGCCGGTTGATAATGTGATCTTATGCATTTGAAATTTCAGAGAGAAAAATTAAAATTTTAAAAACTATACTTACATATCTGAGATTCTAGCATTTGATGTAGCAGTTGATTCAAAAGTAGGATTGAAATATGAGCTTTGTTGTAATATTTGGAATTTGAAGTTAATAGCTACCTTCGGATATCACGAGGAGCAGAATACTAATTGGTGGACTCGGAGGAGCCTTTCACCAATTTAACACAAACAGGAGATCTTGCAGTTAACAGAGTGGGAAAAACCTCAACATTGGTAGCTCAACCGGAGTTAAATCCTAGCAAATGGGTTATTTGAGAGAGCGTTCTTGAAATTTTCCCATGTGCAATGTGAATAAGAAAATCCTCCTCTGAAACATCTCTTCTCGCATGCATATAGCCCTAATGTCCTTTCACATTATCCAATAAATCAAATTTCCCCGTTAACAGTCAAAAGCCAATATTTATGTGCAAGCCTTGCTTTGTTTTAGGCTTTTAGCTAGGTATAAAATAAAGTTCAGCGCATGGGTTACTTAAATTTTCATTTCGCACAAGTCCTACGGATAGGCATCTTAGAACAGACGAATGTCGGGTAAAGAGTGATACCTAAGCAGTAAAAAATACCTAGAACCACAAGCTAACAGTTAATTTATAAACACGACGAAATTCTATTGCCACTTCTTCACAGTAATAAACATCTTGCATTTCTTATAAATATATAATAATTGGAATACTAAATTGCTGAAAGTTTAGGAGATTATGGGAAATCGGTTAATGACAATCTATTTAAAAGGAAATACCTCCGTATAGGATTTTAAAGAAAGCTGGCTCACATATTCATGTTAAACAAGAGATTCGAACTCTCGGTGAACTACCAATGTTAGTCGGTCTTATTCACTAGACCTCTGGTTGTTCCATTTGTAACGAACGTCTTAAAATCACGCATTCATCAGTCATATTACGCGGCTCGTATGTTAAAGATATTATTCTCATTACGCGTGAACCCTGCTACGCGATGGTATTTATTTTCTGCAAACTAAGCACAAATCTCAAGACTACATTATGAAACTCGAAGTAAAGAAACGTTGAATTTGAGCGAAGATTGGCAGAAAGTGCTACAAATTCGTTAACCAAAGTATTTGAAGATTTTCTATCTAGGTTAAAACGCATTCATAAAGGACTATTAAAAATAAAACAATTCTCACATTACCAGTACTATCAAGTATGTTAACTGTCCAAAGCAGACCTCCAAAAATTCCATGTAGGTTCTCAGGTAAATAAATTTACATTAATATTCACGATATGATCTACTGTGCTGAGTATTTAGCGCTGGTAAAAGCATATAGGAATTCATACCTAAAAGTTTGGACTTCGCATAACAGCCTGCTGGAGAATTTCAGGTTCGGGGCTTTCAGTTCGGAGCGTAATGCCGTACGAAAAATTACGCTAATTTAGTCATAACCTTCGTAATTTTGTTCTGTAGAAGATCTGTAATTGTGGTAGAAAGGGGCACGAGAGTTGTTTGCCTAACGGAAGAGAGGCCTTCGTGGAAAGCTTTAACATGAAATATGGCCTGTGACATCCCAAGTTCTGTGTGTGTGTGGGGGGGGGTAAGACTGGGTTTCTGCCCCTGGCGGCAACTTCTGTGGGAGGCAAATTATAGCCAGGTTTAGAAACCTCTTTTAGGAAGCTTCATAATTAAATATCAAGAACCCTTTTAAAGGAATAAAGAGTTAAAAAAAGTTAATTATAGCCGATTTCCGAGGTAAAGATAAGATTAGAGAGAGGTCAGTTGTTTGACCCTGAGAGTGAAGGCGCGCTAGCGGATTCATTCAAGTAAGAACTAGAAAGATAGCTTCGAAGCGGATAGTTTTCTTAGCAACGTCTCTTGGCAAATGGAGAAGCATTGCAACTATTTACAAAGATCGCACCCGATAAAAATTAACCTTGGACCAATGAAATAATTCAAATTAATATACGTAGAGCATATACATCAGACCGTCGACATGTACTGCCTCCAAGAAATGAAGCAAGGCATTTAGATTAGCACAGCAAGGGTCGTCGGCAACTTACCCGCCTTTAACTAGACAAAATGGCGGCGCGCGTTTTGGCCATTTAAAACTGGATTTATTATTTCTGTATTTTAAGTTTTACGGAGTCTTTTGGCTTTTTAGGCCTTGGAAGCGTAGCTGAATTATCTGATTTATCAGTTTTGAGTATGCCTGCTTTTAGCACTCCGCACTATATTTAGCGAGACGCAACCATTTAATTAGAGCGCGCCCGCTGACGTACCTTTAGGACTACTGAGCGTAATTACCTCAGTTTTTAGTTGTTCTTATTAAAGCAAGTCAATGTATTTCACTGAAGGTACAAAATCATGAACGCACCTGGGAAAAAGCTCTTGGCACAGAATTTAGAAAATGAGCCAAAGATAGGGCTGAAGAGAGAAAAATTAAATTGTAGCTAAGGAAAAAATGGCCTCACGGAAGAAGTGAACCGTCCGTAACATACCTTGCCACAGTTTACGATAATGCTGGTATTCTATAGGATATTAAAATGTCTCGCAATTTGCATGACCAAGATGAACAATTTTCATCTACCATCGCCAAACAGTCTACAAGTCAGAACTTTTAGAGAACCTTCATCGACCTCAAACGAGCAGTTGTAGGACATGAACTCAAAGAATCTCATCATTTAGGTATCATTTAGGGCAAGGAAGACAAAACACTTAAAAATTTGATTTGACGGACCCAGGCAGTTGGCCAGTCACAGAAAAAATCAGCAATGAAGTTCCTTGCACAGGGTGACAAATGTCAGTCGTTTAGCGAAAACAGGGAACACCATGAGTAGACGATTGACCCCAAGCGTCTTGCCTTGTGGTTTTGTGGTATTGACTTTCGTAAAGATGCCCTGAGAGCACACCACTTCTTGTCTAGGCTCAATAACCAAAAAGAATAAATGAGCCCATTAAGGTTTGCAGATAAGTTGCTAACAACTAAGAAATAGCTAGTGCTTTTAATGCTCACTATGCTACAGTGAGTAATTTTCGTCCTTTTGCTAAAATCCCAAGGCATCTTCTTAATTGCCCATAGCCTTGCCTTCATCAAGAAACAGACGACATTTTTAATTAACTTTTCTCAATGGGAAACTCAAATGTGGCATTAAGCAACTGCGGCAAAGAAAGAGTGCAGGACTGGATTGAATCGTGCCGGAGTTTGTCATTAATCTGGATAAAAAGTCTATGAAAGTCTTACTCAGGCTCATTAACCTCACTTGGTCTACAAGCACCCCTAGTGTGTGGGCGCAAAGGAGAAACAATACCTATTCTCAAAACTGGTAAATCTATGTGTTTCTGACTAGCTTTCGTCCAATATCACGTACTAGTGTAATGTGTAAACTAATCGAACGCCTCATTGTAAATAGACTCAATCACTCACTGCCTTGAGAAATTCTATTGTATTTCTGATAGACAGTCAGTTTTAGGCAATATAGAAATACAACTGAATAGTTAAGACTCATACGGGAGATAAAAGATAGCTTCCATCTTAAAAAGAGTACTGAAGCAATGTTGATCGACTTCCAGACTGGCTTTGGCAGAGTATGGAGTAAAGGGCAGCTCGGGAAATTGATATCTGTACTTGTGTAAATATGTATCGTTTAATTAAATCTTTTTGGATCAGTTATCTCTGCCTACAGACAAACTAGACAAGGGCTTCCTCAGGGTTCCGTCCTGAGTCCTGTTCTTTTCAGCAAATGTTTTCTAGCAAAGTGTTTGGGTGTAATCTTAGGTGCTACTTTCGTATTCCTGTTCACAGCTCCGTACATGAATGTAAGGTTCCCTTTCTCTGGCTCGCGAAATTCATGGTGGAAATAAAACCAAACGTAAAAACCAATGCTTACGCGCTTTTTTTTTTTTACTGAAAAACGCTCTCTGTTACTCTACAGTTTGCGTTAGATTCGTGTATTGTTATAACGAAAGGCGCTTGCTTTATGTACGTTTAAACAACCCTTAAAATTTGGCTGAGGATATAGTTATTCGTTCTACAACGGTAAAAGCCATCACATTGTTCACAGCACGAAAGGTTTTTTTTTTTCTAAGGACTTTCTTTTCAAAACAGATGAATTTTTTTGTACTTCAGTTAAAGTCCAGATTTCCGAGCTTTCTTAAGTAAAGATCTCATTACATTTGTGTCCCTTTTTAGAGAATTTTGATTGTAAAGTTTTGTGCCTTAAAAAACGATTAGCGAGGATGCTTTTTAAATTTCTTTATCAATTTTGTTTCGAAAGTTTACTTCTGAATCAAGATAAAACACCAATTCGAATTTTATATTTCAAGGTCATTGATGCTTACCGATTTTTTTTTATAACTGGCATATATTGTTTTCATTGAAATTAGAGAGTATTTTAGATGTCGCTTTACTAACTATGTACTATATAACATAGATGCGAATCTTTAAATTCTTACAACGCAGTTTAATTAGAATTGACAAAAGTTATGTTTCCTTAAATTAGTGTCTTATGCACTGGAAGACGTATTAGTTGAATGTAGGGCGACGAAAACGTGCAAAAGCAGATTAAGGAATTTGATATAAAGAGACTGTTGGAATTGGATATAAACCCACCATGGATTTTGATTGAATCATCTACTCCTCCTTCGACGACATCGAAACCTGTGAAATTTACAGGTTCTTGGGTTGAAAGCCTTCCACTGTGGTAACTCAGTTCTAGAAAACAGAGTTTAACCATAAAAAGATGTTCAGGAGCAAATTATATTTCCAGAAAAAAAAAATTTAACATATACTGACAAATTTAACTTACTTCCATTTTTCATCGGTCCTTTGGCTAAAAGTAAGTAATATGTCGAATTAGCTAAATCGAATCGTCTCCCGTGAGATTCTTGAATATATTTTGCTGTCCAAGAGCAACTTGTTAAGCCGTTCGTGAACTCAGCATTGTATTTCTCCCGTGGCAACTGAAATACACGAATATTTTAAAATCTTAATAGGATAGTATATGAAATAAGATTAAAGACAAAAAAAGTACTTTGAACTACCGTTCGAAGAACTGGCAATAAGGAGGCGTGTATATAGACCAAAATCGTAAATTCGTGCAGTGTACTTAAGTTTATCCTGCAAAAAATAGAGGTTGAATCTGAATAAGGAGGCAAAACTTTACGGGGTGATATATCGCAGCCATACAAGCAATATTCGCCATATAAAGTCTGGGTGGAACACAAACGGCGAGCTGCTAGGTGGCATTGTAAATTGGATAAAAAAGGTCGGTCCTCGCATCCAATGGCTTTTTCTACGGGAGATTGTCAAGACGATGGCTGTTTATACGAACCATGAAACTGGGCGATGGATTGGTCGAGGTGGTTCCATAGCTTGGCCACTAAGATCGGATCTCTCGTGTTTAAACTGTGGGGCCATATGAAAAGCCTAATATACGAATGTCCTGTTGAAACGAATATGGATCTAGTTGTCAGGTTTGTCACTGTCGAGGGCGATACTCGGGAAATGTCTGGTGGCTTCGCAAAGGTGCGTCATTTCCTTCACGCGAGTGTGAAGCCTGCATTACAGCTGGCGGAAGGCCTTTTGAGCAATTTCTTTGAACATTACATTCCTGTTAATAAGATGTTTTCTGAAGTACCTTCTCTCATTTCTGTTAATTCTTTAAATGTTTCAGTGAAAAACTAACTTTTAACTTCTTACGTTCCGACCATATATTCTATGACGAATATTGCTTGTACAGCTGCATTCTAGGACCCCGTAAAGTTCTGCCCCCTTTTTCAGATTCACCCTGTATTTCCCAGAAATTTGGAAGGATACTTGAATAAACATTTAATACATAGAAATTTCCTCGCAATGTATCAAACAACTTAATTATAAATAACTTAAAATTAGACCTTTAGGTCTCATTTCGAAGGATAAAGCTCAGCGTATTTCAAAAGAAATGACGCAGGATTTTTTCCAGAAGGGTTCTATTCAAATTTTCTAAATTATCTCTTCAAAATAACGCAAAACAGCATTAACCAAGTGAAGTGCACAGCGTTATTGTAAGAAAAATCTGGACATTGCGAACACGAATTTAAATCTCTTCTACCAGCAATCATTCATCAGTTCATAAATCAAGATACCACAGAACATTTAAAGAATACGTGGATGAAGCGCATTTTTTAAAGTAACTGGGCTATTTACTGCCATTCCTGTAAATATAAGAATAAAGAAGCTGTAACAAAGATTCCTATGAATGTAGAAAGAAGGACTTGTTTTTTTTACCTCCAAATGCCAGTTGGAGTTAATATTAATTAAAGTCTGGGGAGTGGTTATTTAGAAAGTTGTGTACTAACCAAATTCGATTTTAGTAAAACTGACATTGAAGAGATTGAGGTCCTACTAAGCCTACGATAGTAATGCTACTACCGAGCCTATGACAGTAATTTTACAGATATGGAACGACAAGAATTAAATATTCGGAACTAGGTTTGAAGTTAGGTTATTTGTGTATGGCAAAGCACACGAGGACTATCTGCCAGTGGGAAAGGATGCGTTCATAGGGCCCGTTCTATGGGCGATTGGTTCCTATTCAGGTTACACAGGTAGAAAACTAACCATACAGTTAATCTGTTCACATGGATTCGAACCCAGGACGAATTCTCAGTAATCAGCAGTCTTTGCCACTTGGCCATTGATCGGCAAAATTCGGTTGACTATTAGAGACAAATATCGTAAAGCTAAAAACATTTTAAACAATCGCCTCATCAATGCTATTCTTTGAATCATTTTTAAGGTTTGTAAACTTTGAGCAAGAATTGAAGTAAAAATTATTAAATTCTTCAACCAGTTACAGCGAATTTTAAGGTGAAACAAAATTAAAGCTAGTGGCTTTTAATTCATTTTATTGCATTTGATTTTTACTAGGAAAAATTGCTGTTTGCATGAGATCCAATACATTTCAATTTCACATTAATTCGCAAACTAAATTCGTTGGTGCTTCACCTCAGAACTTTCTGTGTATATTTAGAAACATCAATTCAAAGTTACGTTTTGCTTCTGGTTAAATTGGCCTTCTTTAAAAATTGCAAAAAAAAGTCTTGTTGGGTGTAGATTGGGAATAAAAGTATCAAGGGCAATCAGACTCGGATATCTTTAGAAGAGAACACATCTTCGCAATCAAAAATTTGTTTCAGAAGTAAAAAGTTTCCGATACTATTTAATTCAAAATCTCTGCCAACCTAAAGATTTTTCACGGGCGCGGGAGGGGGCTAATTTTGAATTTAACGTTGGCATGTTTTTCAGTTTGCTTCTTTTAATTGGAGTCAGTTTCTGAATTAAATCAAAAGGCAACAAATTAAACCTAAATTAGACGCAAGCAAAACAAGAACTATATGGCTTACCTCTAAATGAAGAACTCGGTGAAAGAAAATAAAAGATGTCTTGAGAAATGGAGAGGAAATTAAGAGACATATAAAGCTGTACATGGAAATTTGAAAATTTTGTCAATAAATCAACGCGTGGAAAAAAGTTTATAATATCCACATTTGTTCCAAAGGTTTGTCTCTAAATATTTCATAAATTTTGGGTGAAATAAATACTTTCTCTACAACATATCGAGTTTGAAACTATTTTTTTGCAGTCCATACAAAAAAAAAAAAAAAAAAAAAAAAAAATAATAATAATAATAATAATAATAATAATAATAACCGCCAATCCAATGTGACATTTTTCATCGGCGACATCGGTAACCATTCAACTCATTTTATCATAGAGTTAGGTTTGTTGGTTATTGGAATATGGCACAGCACACAAGGGTTTTCCACCTAAGGGAAGGGTTACCTTCGGGAAGGGCTTTAAGGGAAACAGCCTCGTATTCACGTTACACGTGGAGAAAACTTACTATGCAGCCAGAACAGTGGCTCGGGATCGACTCAGGATAGAGCTCGTAGTATTCAGCGGTCTTAACCACTAGGTCATTGTACTATAGAAAAGAGCTCGAAACTCAAAGGTTCCAAGGATTCCAAGTGTTTGAAGAGAGATTTTCTACCCGCATGCTAATAGGACTCTTACGTAATCTAAAGAATTACATGGCGGCGCATATTTAACCTATCAGGCAACAGAAAGGCGGTGAATGCCTATAGTAGCTTAGTAAGTTCATGCTGTGAAGTAACAATATAAACGCATGCGAAATACAGTTATCAGCTATCTTAATAGTCTTTGAATGCATTGCTAGAGGCGCTTCCAAGACACGTCTCAACATGTCCTGTGCAGTATATATTTAAAGGCTTTTGGCAGTCCTCAGTTTATCACTCGTTCTCAAACAATATGCAGAGGTTCACCTTTTCCATGCAACCCTAGAGCAGGTAGTCCGGAATTGGCAAAATCGGAAAGTCATACGGGCATGTGAACTGTCGGAGCAGGCAATCGACGATTTGGGACGTTTGTCGGGGAAAAGTCATACTTCTGCAACTCTAGTTAATTGTATTCAGTTACCTAATCCACCATTTCTATTTAAATTCTGTAATAAACGTTTACTTCACTGGCAGAACTTGCTCAGTTTATCTTACTTCAAACAGGGTCATTTCTGTTCTCATGTTCTGCCTTACAGGCTCAGGTCCATCAGCAGCCGAGAGGTAAAGTCGCTGAATACTGCTAATTCATTCCGGGGCTCGAATCTCAGCAGCGAACGAGCTGGTTGCATGTTTAGCGTTCGTGTTTTTCCTCATGCGTAACGTGTATATGAGGGCGTTTACCTTAGAAAATCCTCCACGAAGGCATCTCTCTTCTTAGGCAGATAGCCCTTGGGTGCTTTGCCGTAATCAAATAAACCGAACCTTATAGATTAAATTTCTGTTAATCAACGATGAAGAATCTTAAAATGTAAAACTGAAGCTGAACTTTCTTAAACACCTTACACCCTTATAACTACTACTAACAGATTTAATACCAAACTACTCATTTCTTCAAAAGACCAATATTCAGAGAATGGATAACAAATTAATGTTATATTCTTCAGGAAACTATTTCACTGATTTAGCAAGAATATAACAGTTCCAACGCGTAAAAACTCAAGGTAATTTAGATGCAATTTAACTGCAGTTATTATGTTTCTTAAAATACAAGAGACAGTTACTTCTCTGTTCGCTGTGTTACTCTTTCCGTTATTCCAGGACTCACGAGCAATAACACTTGATCCTTGCCTGAAACACTCGGTAACAGCATCATCACCCTGGAAAATTAAATCAGGATCATACCAATTGAATATTTAAATTTTTGAAACAAAATAAAAAACATTAGACATTCAGAAACAGGCTTATTTAACATAGGGTACTTTTTAAAAGTTTGATTAAAGTTAATTTCAGACATAAGTTGACTAATAATGAAATATGACTAATAAGCATTGAGAGTATTTTACTCTGTATTTACATTTACAAAGTCACTTAAATGATTTTAGCAACAACATAATATCATCACTACAGATTCTTTGTCGAAGCTTATTACTACCATTAAACATTAGAAAAATCAAATTTTTAATTATCCAAAACAGTTTCTTTAAGCATTTTATTGTTATCCATTGGCAAGACCAACAACTTAAACCAGCTTTCAATTCAGTAAAATTAATACTAAATTTGAAAGTGAAATTCCTTTTTTAAAGCAAAGTACAACTGAAAAGAATATGCAAACGCCAACTATTTTAGGATTTTTACAATAATGAATGAAGTTCTGGATGTCAATTCGGGAAATTAGTTAAATCCATCGGTCATTGAGTCATCTTATCACTGAGAAAGTTTTTATAATTGTTCACTACAGACGGACACCAGAACTTCATCATTGGTCATACAGGCATAGTCCCACTGCACTAACTACGCAGTTCTGCCCTAATTTCGATCAGGACGGCATATTCTTGAAGTGAAGGATGCTCTTACATTTAAAGTCTGCTCATAATCAACACATTTAAATTCGCCTCCGTTTTGCGCCGAATATCGTAACCACTAAAGCTACCTGAATACATATTTAAACTTAAGCAAAAACAATATACAAAAATTATCCAGATACCTTATCAATTTTACAATTAGATAACCACCTAAAAACTTTGGGTTCCTTAAATATTGGTTATTTAAGAGTTTAAAATCTGCAGACTTTAAAGATAAACTAGCCTAAGTTAGATATACTTCAATAGCCAGTTTTTAATGAAGGCAGAAATGAAAGCGTTCACTTCTAGGAAGTGTTAATTACCAAATGCACAAATAACTCGGCGGGCCACAAATTCCTGCAAAAGGCCATTGTGTTTTTCTTTGCTACTTGAGAGAAGGGTGCGCTATGGCAAGCGATACGTTAGTTCTAGGAATTTCAGTCTCCATGAAACGCTTCACAAGTGAACAGCGCGCGTTTTGTGTAAACCCTTAAGAAAATAATTATGCAGCTGTACGGCGCCTGTATAGATTAGACTACGATATGCACTGCATCCGCAAGTGCCCCAAGTATTAATTTAAATCATGGATCAGGAAATTTGAATGACCCAATTGCACCATAAATACGAAACAAACGGGGCGGCCACGCTCTCGGCGAAGCGAAGAAAATGAGAAAGGCGTTAGAGACAGGTAAAGACGGAAATGGGCGGGACACGAGACATTTCACCATTGGTAAACCGTTAGATAGTAAGAAAAGATTAGTACTTGTCTCACCATAGTTGTAAGAATTTGAAGGCTACGAGAAGAGCCTGAATGCATAAGCATGGCACCACATGCCATATCTCAAACATATTAAAAAAATTAACCAATAAATTGATTTCTCATGGAGATGATATCCTATTCTCGCCGAACATCTCGCCGACTTTTTCTTTGGGCGGGGGGGGGGGGTAAGCATAAAAGTCATGTGTACAAAAAGAAACCGCCAACAACAACCCAACTGAAATGAAATATTTACGATGTAGAGGTCATTCCACCAGCCACGTGACAGAATGTTTCTCAGAATTTACATGCTCAGTTACAGGGGTACCAATGACATGAAAGTGGACATCTCGATGATATTTTAAAAATAATTCTCGCATATGTTTACTGTTAAATAAACCCTCGATCACACCGATTCCCAAAAATGCAAAATTTTATGGTCCACCCCTGTATAACAAGTATTTTTTTATGAGTACATATGTGCTATAGTATCTTTATGAATTTTTCCTTCCTAGCTTACGCTGCAAGTATAACTTTAAAAAGAACTTTCCTACCAAGGTATTTAAAATCATGAAAACATTTTTTCTGTATGAATGAACGATCGCTGTAGCAATAGTTATTTTATGGTTTAAACTTCATTTGCTGATTAACTACTTTTGATCGAAATTAGGATGAAGTTAACTTACAGTATTAGAATTCAGCCACATCTTCGCGTTGTTTCAGAAAGATGAATGAAATTACTGTTCTTAAAACGCTTTTTAAGTACTATGTTTCAATTTTATTGGCAGGATTTTGTCTCACTTTTTATAGTACTGCACACATAAAATATAGTTTTTATCAACACTTTTATAGTACTGCACACATAAAATATAGCTTTTATCAAAATAACTGCAACCTGTAAAGAATGTAAAGTCATTTAAAACGTAGTGGTGACTAATCTCATTTGCCTGACCTAATCAGAACAAGCCCAGGAATTTTATCTCCGCAAGGAGTACAATATTACAAGCCTGTCATCGGCAAGAACCTTGAGCGCTATACAGTTGGCAATACGACTTTTCTGGGACCCCAATTTTGAAGAAGGGCACCCCGGAGGGGTCGAAGGGTTTCTCACCCCTCTTCCCCTACCACAATATCTCGAGAGAATTTTTAGCTCGCCATATATTTTGAGCGGCTTCATATGGCACAGATACTAAACATTTGAAAACATCCATGACTTCTCCGGGATTCGAACTCGAGTCCTTCTGTGAGGCAGTCAGCGTCAATAACTACTAATTAACAAGTAATTAGCTACTGTGCTTCCCAGTATTCCACTACTATTAGCCAGCCACAAGTCAATAATTATTGGCTTCGTTTCAGCAATGCACTGGAACAATGAATAATATAACCTGCGTTTAATCAAGAAGCGTCTTTATGATACTTTGTTTGCATAGATAATCCAATTTATATGGTAGCCAGCACATTCAGCATTGTGCAACATGCATAAGTTATTTGTAACCGAGGCTTTTAATTTTTTTGTTTGTATATGTAACCCAATTTTATTTGCAATCAGAATATTTTTGTTAATGCAATATTGAAGAATATGTTATTACATATGTAACTATTTTTTTTTATTTTGATTTCTATAAATGCCTTCTAGACCGCTGGCCTTGGCTGTTATAGTGGATAACAACTGCCAGGGGGGAAATTACATTGCTAGACTTTACTTGAAAATGTTACGGTCAGTGGTCACCCCTGATGGCGTTTACATAACTAACCACTTTCCCGTCTGGGCGGCTTATAGAACACCACCTGGTTAGTCGGAAAACGGCATTTTCTTTTCTTTTCTTTTTTTTTTTTTTCTGTTCTTTTGAGGTATCCTGCTCTTGATTTTGAACAAATGCAGTTTTGAGTTAATACATATTTGCGAATGCTTTGGAAGTGCTCAAGGATTTCAAAGGCTAAAAAACGGGATCCAAGGATACCATGTTTAAATTTACTGGTATAAATCTTACCATTCGAGAATCCGTACTTAAGCCCATTGCCATGTACGTCTGAGGCTCTAAGAATCCATACATTTTGAAAGCTATACCATCCACGTCATTTGCATATGAAAGTAAGACTTCACAGTCTCCACGATTTACACAGCCTGGAGGGTAACCGAGGCATCCTTTTGAAACGAAGCAGTTGTCATACATTGTGTGCGAGTCTTCCTTTTAATAAGAAAATATTAAATTAATAAACAATATGCATAAATTAAAAATAAAAGTAGAAACTTACCTCTGCCGTCTGTAAGATTTACCATAAAGCAGAGTGTGGAGCTCATTTGTGAATAATTTCAGAGTATGCAATGCATTGATTACTTTAAATTGAATATTTAAATCTATCAAGCACACAGTGCATATTGTACAACATTGCGTATCTAGTAATTTTTTAACTTATAATAAATTAATCTTAACTTATTAAAAGTTAAATTACGAGATTGGCAATATTTTTACCTAACTAACACTACCACATTGAAAACTGAGAAATCTATCATTCGATATAATGATGTATGCCGTAATAGCAGTTTTAGCTGTTAGGTTTCTGCCGCCACCCTTTCAGGAAAATTTTGGCTTGACGTGTATTGTCAGTGTCCTCGCAGCAGACACTATACGCTTATAATCATTCATGCTTTCTTCGATATTCGGGATCAGCGTTGCTTGGGACTGCCGTCCGGGCGGCAGTCCCAAGCAAAAATAGACCGATGTGTAACTGCTTACCCAATGCTTGATGAAAAAAGTACTTTTGCTTTGCATCCTCTCAAATGCAAAACAAATATGGCCAATAGGTCTAACGCAATCGGCTTGTTGCCAAATTTTTTAATCGACCGTGGCTGCCAGATAGCACTTTAGAAGTTAACACCACGTTACTTGAACATAAGCATCGTTTTAACACAATTTAATTTTTTACATTTCATAATTATCCCCTTTCAGTACTCCTCGTTTCTAATTAGACCAATGACTTTAAATACGTTAATTAAGATTTACAAATTTAATAGATAAGATAGTGATTAAATTTTGTATTAAATCTGTGGCAACAGCAAATAAATTGTTCATCTTTATTACATAACAAACACGCTTTCCTGTGCTCTGTAAACTATTCAGAATTAGACCAAAACATCAAACTACCTCAGTTTCACACATGCGAGAAAAATGTATATTATGTATAATATAGCATATACAGCAACGTTTGTTGTTAAGGCTTACTATGCCTAGTTTACCAATTAACATTTATGTTGCTTTATGTATATTATGTTGCACGTATTTCGGCATTATTCACGGCTCTAAGTAAATGCGATGGGTACTGACACCTATCGCTCGCGGATACGAGGTACTACTTGTACTGAAGAATTTTTTCCATGCACTCACAATCTTAAAAATGAAGTGGTGGAAACAAATATTTAAACAAAGTTCACTTAACATAAAAATGATACTGCTAATAAATCAAAGCTGAAATATGCATAAAATGAATATTTCAACATGTGAAATATTTTAATTCAAAAACATTTATTATAAAAGTCACAGTAACCCACAATTTTAATTTTCCCAAATTTTAGAATACTTTAAAGTATTTGAACATAATCTACGAATTTACGACGAAAATTTAAATGTTAATATTTGATGAAAAGGCTTTTGTTGTCAATTACAGCTCATGATCTTCTTGGTAAAGACTCAAGAAGTCTGTTAGATCGGATGATAAAATTTCAGGAAAAATAATTTTTAAAAAAGTTCGGTTATCTATGCCTCGGGAATCAGCACTCTTGAAATTATGGAAAATTACCTAATTCCGCAATGTAACGAAATATCAATATATTTTGAGCATTTTTTTTAAAATTTTTTTTTTAATTGCAAAAGGATAGATAAGATTTTGCTGGGAAAGTTTTGGGGAGTCGTGAAATATAGTTGCATCCCCAGATAAATATTTGCATACTTTTAACTGCAAATTTGCATAAATTTATCGGATAATTATTTTTAAAGCTCCGCACTCATTCTTTTAGCATAAACATTTTAAAGGAGCAGAACTGCTTGAAGTTTGGCGTTGCTCATTATATCCTAGTTGATTATAGCATTCTAACTGTTTTACTAAAACAGCTTTCCTGGTGTTACGAAATTTCACTTGGGTTTTATCAAATCGTTTACTCTTTACTTAGATTACTGATCGCTTATTATACAAGTTTGACACTTGTAGCGGCCGATTTGCATTTGGCACGAAAACAATTTTTTTTACAGTTCTTTAAGTAATATTTTATATACAACTCGACATACGTATGCTACTGAAAAATATATTGTTTTGATATTTGTTCCACTTTTCCTAGTCTGTCTTGAACGTTTAATTCATAATCAGTGTACCGATTTTCAGAAGAAACATCCTCAGCTCAGTGTGAAATTAAGAGAATGTTTCTTTAATAAAATATTTTTTAGAACATCGCTAAGATCTGGCCACATTTCAAATATTAAATATCTTCCTTTTCATTTAGATATATTAATTCTTACCGATTTGTTTATATTGCAATTTCTGGCGCAAAATATAAAGGTTACCTGCACCAAACTAGTGGATGAAACAAACAAAATTGACAAGTGCCAGGATAATTCGTATTGAAATGGATTATTTGATTATGAAAAATACACTTGGGACATGCATCTTAAGCAAAGAAATGAATACCATTCTACAGAGCACTTTTCTTGCTGCTTTTCATGACGCATGGGAAAAGCTCTAAAAATGCACATGTAGCAAGCCCGTTTGCCGGTTCTCAACTCGCGTCGAGTTACCAGTGTTTAGCCGTTTTATCCACTCGCCGACTAGTGGGAATTTCGTATAAACAAAAAATATATATCCTTTAGCATTAACCGTTTCGAAAGTGTGAAGCAACGCTGAAAATAAATGTAGTTAAACCATAACTAATGACTAATACAAAAAAATTAATCTCTTACCTAATGACATTCATGCAAATTAAATATTCTACTCGCTTCGATTTATTTATTGCTTTCAATTTTAACTCCGAAAGGCTGATCTTTCATGCCTCAGAAAACAACATTCTGAAAACACGTAAATTCGCCTAATTTTACAATGTAGCGAAATAGCATATTTTGAATATTTTTATTCGCTTATGTAAAATAAGCGTTTGAGTAGCTAATTTTTTCATCATAACGCATTTTTAGATACACAAGTTCCCGCATTTCAGACATATTGAGTTAAGTTTGGCAAATATTCCTCCTTACTTTACGTATACAGATTGAAGACTAGCCGACATGGCATGTTAACTGAAAACATCTACTGAGTAGCAGAATGCAGTTATTTTACGCTGTGTTGAACTTGACAAATAACGACTGCAGACATAAAATCTGGAAATATATAAACGGGAGGAGCAACTGCAGGAAGTTTCAGCCTTAGCGAATTAAGAGGGGCCGATATTGAGCATGTTTAGGAACTTATACTGTCGTAAGAGCGGCAGATTAAATGCTATGATTGTGGCATACTGTATTCTTATTTCATAAAAGTTACCTTTCTTCTGCTTGATGAGCCACCATTATTTCCCATTCTTATAGGAGATGAATCAATTTCAGTCCAAAAAACAGAGAATGATTCAGAAACAGTTGCCCTAGAAAGAAAATATTAATTTTCATTACTTTATTCTATAAAGTATTCGAAAACATGTAAAACTGAACCAATCTGAAACAAACCTGAAAATTATGTCTTCATCGACCTCATCACCTGGAGACCATTCTGTGATGATTTCTCGCTTGCCATTTGTATTCGCATGAGTAAGAGTATTCTGAAATGGATATCAATCTTAGTTGCTATCCTAAAAATAAAAACTTTCAAAAGATCAGAAATGAATTCCTCACAAACCTGTGATCCCCTAAAGCAGTCTATGGTTTTTGAAATACCATTTTGTTGCGTAAATTTTCCGTCAATCATTTTCTGGCGGTCTTTTGCTGATCGTGCCTGTAGAATGAATCCTTGGAATGGTTCACCAGAAGGGGAGGAGATCATTACTAGATAAAAAGTACATAATTCATTAAAATCATGTTTTCGTAAATATAGCACACAAAGCATTAAATTGCTAAACATGCAAACTGGATTACGCGGGCATCGCTGCTTCCACATATAGTGAATCCTTTATAAGACTACGGTTCTAGACAATTTTACCTTCGTGAAGATAGCAGTCTTAGAAAAAAATGAATTGCTTTGGCATGACTAACATTAATAGTTTATTAGATTATGGAAAAACACGCTAAGACTATCTAGCCACGGGAGAGATGTGGTTTAGTTGATAATCGCAAAGCACACAAGAGCTAACTGCCTAAGCGGAGGGATGCGTTTGTGGATGACTTTCTAAGGGAAATGGGCTCGTATACACGTTACACATGAAGAAAACGCCCATTCAGCCAGTCCGTTCGCAGGAATTCGAACCCCGGATTGAATTACCAATGTTCAGCGACTTTACCGCTCGGCCGTTGGTGAGCCGACTATGAGAAGGAATGCCTTTACGGAGGACTTCAGAGAAGAAACTATCTCGTATCCACTTTACACGTGGAGAAAACACATGCAGTCAGCACGTTAGCGTGACTTTGAACCCAGGTCGAACTGTTAGTGTTCAGCTACTTTACCGCTCAACCACTGGTGGGCTTCGAGATGACATGACATTAAGAATTAGTATAACCAATTTAGGAATATATTGAACTATTGAAACGTTATTTCTTTACAACAGAACCTGGATGACAAATTATCCGCGCCTAGGTAAGGACAAAAGCGATTGTTTTCCAGAAAAGTGATTTGTTAAATAAGAAATAAAATTCTTACCGTGATAATACACCTTGCACAAAAAAAGTTCTGCATTTCCCGTTCTACTGGGCACATTGACGAAATTTAGTTTACATTTTTCAAGTCTCGAAAGCGCGAATTAGGGTATTTATTTGATTTATATACAGCATTGTTATAACAGGTATTCTGACACAAAATCGAACTTTTAGAAATTACATACCAATTTTTTCTATATTTGGATTCTACGACTCAAATTAAGCGAAGTGCCAAGTTTTGTATAAATCGCCCGAGTAGATTTTTAAAAATTAGCTTTCAAAATTTTAGTTGCTCAATGTTGGGTGGTGTGGTGTATTTAATTATGGCAAAGCACACTAGGGCTATCTGCCTAAGAGGGATGCCTTTCGTGGAGGACTTTCTAAGGGAAACTGGCTCGTATACACGTTACACATGGGGAAAATCACGAAAACACCCATGCAGCCAGCCCGTTCGCGGGATTTGAACCTCGGACCGAACTACCAGTGTTCAGCGACTTTACCGCTCGGCCGCTGGTGGGCAGCTCAATGTTGGGTGAATTTGGTATGTATATTTTATTATCCTTTTTTATTAAACTTACTTCATTCCTTCTTTCAAATTTCGAAATTTAGGTTCAATCCAAATAAAATTCGCAGTTCTTTACCGATTTATTTAAAAAATTTACATTTTTATAAATTTTTGGTAAAAATTTTTGAATTGTTAACCTATCAAATTTTTGCCATCAGCTTGAAGTAGTTGTATTTCTAGGCTAATCTGAAAAAAATTATTTTCTTCAAAATTTCCAAATATATACGTGAATTTAGATATTGGAGCAGTTTGAAATTTGGCATATTTGTTATAAGCGATAATAACACCTAATGTGCTTTATGCATTTTGTTAAAATTATTTGAAAGTATGAACAAGATGCACCTGTTTTTCCTCCCCTCATGTACAATAAGAAAGGGAAAGGAAAATAGGTTGCTATAAATTAAGAAATTCGCCAAGTAGAAAATTGAATTCTAAATGGCCAAATATGAAAGCAAACTAAAAAAATGGGCCATGATAAACTTAAATTTCTTGGTAAAAATTCTAACCAAATTTTACAAAATTTAATATTTAGACATTGAGTCATAGAACCGAAATATGGGGAAAAAATCGCTATGTGTTTTCAGAAAAAAGTCCGATTTTGTGTCAAAATACCTATATATTAGAACAAGGCTTTATATAAATCTAATATATATCTCAAGTCGAGCTTTCGCGAAATGAAAAATGCAAGCTAAATTCCGTCAGTCGGGCCAGTAGAACGGGAGATATAAAGCTGTCCTCTTTTTTTTGTGTGTGTGCAAGGTGTACAACTTGTGATTTGAACAGCATTTAAAATATTTCTGTTTTACACAATATTCAAATATTCTGGTGAACGCCGTAATAAACGTATTTAATGGTCTCTGAGGTTAGGGAGTAGTCTTTTGGGGTTTACATGTCTAACGACGCTGTAGGATAGAAGATACTTTTCGGAGAAACGCGTCTCTTTTAGCTTTGGTTTACAAATGGGAAGGTTCTCAGCCGTCATTTCGGCTGGAAGCGATGTCCTGGCTAAGTACGCGAAAAGTTATAAACGACTCGTTAGAGATATAAAATGTCTCGCTTACAGCTGTCTGCCATAGATTTCCGCCAAAGAAATGGTTTTTGTTAGGTCAATCAGTGATATATCCCGAAAGCGTAGCTTCTCAGAAATGTTTCTTTCGATCCACAGTCACGGATAGCTTGCAGGTCTAATAACGGATTCCGAGAATATTATCAGTAACATAGTTTATGTTCTCAAAAAATATCGATCCGTGGCAGATTTAACGTTATATGGGTTGTGTTTTGACAAGTAAATTGCGTTTAACCCGTGAGTGAAATGAACAGAATAAATTGCATAAAATCTAAATTGTACCTGAACAAAATTGAGCAAAATTTTACTAACGAGACTGGAAATCTTGCAATTAGACTTACGGGAAGATGTATTTACTATAACGTTGCTTTTCGAAGACAGGTTTCATCATCAACAAAGTAAAAGAACATGCACATCCCCGAAACTGGAAATCTTTTATAACATGCAGTGTCTGGTAAAATGCCATTTGAAAATATATTAATGAATTTAGTCAAAACTGGTTTTTAACTCTGAATCAATATATGAATTGAATGAAATGTTACGTTAAATAAGGAAGTATACCTTAATTGACGAATAAAATAAAATTTACCTGTAAAAAATCACTTATGCTTATATTTAGTTAAGCGTTCTTTTGCACATTGAAAAGTAGCTATAGCTTCATTGAGCAATTTAACTCAAGACAATTTATGGATACAGTTTTTAGGATTTGTAAATTATAAAATACTCATAGAAATTTCGGTACTCTTCTTGTTATTGGGACCGGATTCAGAAATGTATGCATACCTGTATGTATGGATGTTCATGTGCGCGTGTACGTACGAATGCACACACATGCACATATATACTTACACACATACATTTCTTAATCCGGTCCCAATAACAGAACAGTAGCGAAACTTCTTTCACCAGTTCGCGTTAAATCAGATTCCAAGAGTTACAAAATTTACTTAAAATACGTTGCTTAGAATTAGCACCGATTTTTACTATGCGTATTCGGTTTATTTACCACGTCTTACGTATTATAGCAAAACCAAGAAACTAATGGCTATAACGAACTTTTTCGTTCCGACCAATTTACATTACTTTACGGCTATAGAAATAATTTCCAAGCGTATAAAAATCGGACATAGCGAACTTTGTGTATAAATATTTTGCACTTTTCAAACATCTTCCCAGAATTTCTGCAGCTTTCTACTGAAATATTATCAAGCTTTAACCCTGCGAAATGATTCTTTTCTTTATCAGATAGGATGCAGGAGCCAAACTTTGGTTCCCTTAAAGTTCATCATAGCGGCGTTCGATTGCAATTGCATTTCATCCCTTTCAAAATGCTTTACGAATAATCGATAATTAGCACTAGTAATGAAATAATGGTAGTAATAATGGTAGTAATGCAAATAAATCATGTATCGATGACAAATATGAAATAAAACAACCATCGCTTAGTTAGAAAGTTAAATGACGAATAATGCAAAATAAAACTGCGTTAAGAAGTTAGCTTACGTCTAACTTCCTGCACTGGATTCATACAAAAAGAATTAAAGAAAATTTGAATTGCACATTCATATAATATTTCTTTCTGGGCAGGTTAACATAAAACTAGACATGATTTGTATTTATAAGCACATCATACCTCTGATTTTATTGCCTGATCTTTCTGCTGTGACGGTGTACGGTGAACTGCTACGCTGTTCTGCAATTCCATGATGTGCAGGTAACATGGTCGAACATGAAGATTTTGGTGCGCCATCCGGCCGTCCTCGGCAACTTATTATGCAGAAGAGTAAAGTAAAGGCGAACAACTCAGTCTTCATTTCTGAAAAGAAAACTCACAATTAAGAAATCTATCAATGTAAAGGAAAATTTTAAAAACTTTATATTTTCGAAAGACTTCAATGATCTAAATATATCATGTAGCTATATTTCGTCCATAATTTGAAGAATTAAATCCATTGCTGTAAGTGTAATTATATGTCTCAGTTTGCATCAATTCCGGAATTCAACAGAATTAAGTACCGTTCCAGATTTGTCCATTGTCTTCCACTACTAAGCAAATTCGGTCTTTCACTAGGTTGGATTAAATTACTTGATTTTAGCAAAATATACTAGGGCTATCTACTTTAAAAGAAGGTTGGCTTCGTGGAAAACTTCCTGGCTTTTATTGAAAAGCTTTAGAAAGATCGATACCATGTTACTGGCGCCAATATAAACTGGCGCTCTCAGCCGGTTTGTGAGCATTCTATCAATCGATAACTAAACTTACTCCTGTTTGCTCCATCTATTGATTCGCAGCATATAAGCTGGTCAAAGTGTCTCCCCCCCCCTCCAGGAAAAAAGTTTATCGTCCTTACTTAAGTTAATGTTCTCAAAATTAACCTCAGTGAAATTTGATGTTTTAAATAAATAGCGACTATCTTTACAACTGTATGCCGATATTCTTTGTGCTTGGGATTTAACGCCTTAATCCTCTCGCTGCGTATCCCGCGATTTCCGTGACCAAAGAGAAGTAGCAAAATTTGCGCAACCCGCGATTTTCGGAGGGAGTGCAATTTTCCCATCTATCTGTAGCCCGCTCTTTTTCCCGTTCATAGTTTCATTTCGGCTTTTCTGGAGATGTTTAATTTTTTATTCATATCTGGGTTAACAGATTATGTTAGCAGTCCATATTTCTGGGAAATATACAAGTGTGGTTTACACCATTTTGCGCGCTCTTTTAAAAGGCTCAAAGATGTCGGTAGTCAAAACTCGAAATTCCATGAGACTAACTACTCGACAATTTGCTAGCCATATACCTCCAATCCCATCAAGAAAAAGTCTCGTAGACAGTGTGTCGTTTGTTGCTAAAAGAACTGAAGTTGGCCCAACAAAAAAATGATTCGCAAAGAAACGCGAATTTTGTGCAAAGATTACGAGGTAGGACTTTGCCTGGAGCCTTGTTTCGAAGTTTATCATAATAAACTTCATCTCTAATAAATGTTTTGTATGTTGCATATTTTCATTAGTATATACTACGTTTTAACTTTGTATTCCATAAAATAAATCGCAGTTTAACCAAGATTAATTTTCAAAATTCTGCTTTTCTATAATTATTTTTCAATTTCAATTTTTCGTCAGCCTTTTTTATGATCTAGTTCTATACTGAAAAAACTTTTACAAAACAATTTATATATTTTAACTGAAATATATGTAAATTTGAAATATGTAATAAAAATACGCAATTTTTTTAACCCATTTTGATAAAAAGCAGCGAGAGTGTTAATATAGCCTGTTTAAATGCAGTTACTAGAGTTACAAGTACTGAATGGCAAGTTAAATCTTGAAGCCGTAATTTTGACCAACTAATAACCAACTAACCAGTTAGTCTTAATTCCACTTCCTTTTTGTTTTAGCAAAACGCAGCGACTGCTCGCTGATAAAACGGACAACATTCGAGCATCAGTAACTTGGTTAACAGCTCACTCTCACTTTGAGGTGGCGGAGGGAAAACACAATGTTTCACTTAGCCAGATATGTCGTAACTCACAATGCAGGAAACCTTCAGGCTACTCAGCCGCCAAGTCACTGAGAAACATTACCAGCTATGCATTGGATTTACACCATTTATATGCTCGAAATACACATTGAGCAGCTGAACAACCGTACTGCGTATTTGGAGGATATTTTGAATATGCTTATAATCCGCCGTTGATTTATAAGGCAGCTGTATTATTTGGGAACGTTTTACATCACAACGAAATCTTTAGGCGAAGTTGAAATGGCGCATTTGCTTAATTAAATACAGCAATACCTGGCAGACCGCTTTTTATCAGTCCTGGATTCACTACAATCCAGTTTGGAAATTTCAAAAACTAAATTTTTTTAAAAAATTAACAATTATTTCATAATGCATAAATGTCCTTTCCCTTTATACTATTCTCCTTCGTTAAAGTCACCAATAGGAGAAGAAACAATTTGATTTCACTGAGCCCGATTCCGTCGGCTTAGTTCTATGCATCAAATCAATATGGTTCTACTTGATTATAGCCGAGTACAGCAGGGATATCTGCCTAAGAGGAGGGATGCCTTCGTGGAGGACTTTCTAAAGGGAACTGGTTCGTAACCACATTCCACACAGGGGAAACTCAAAATCTCCCATGTAGTCAAACCGTTCACCTGGAATCGAATGCAGGTCGAACTAAACTACCAGCGTTCAGCGACTGTACCTCTCGGTCGTTGATGGGCCTCGAATACTAATGAGATAGATAATGAAACACTTATTAGCATAGATGGACAATGAGAGAATAACTTGTACAGTGAGATGCGTGTTGAATTGCCTGCACGAGAATTAAAAGTTAACAAATGTAAAAAAAATTATTCGAATATGTGCAACCTTGTCATGGAATTATGGGAGTGTTACGAGAATCGATCCCAGTATTCAATTCAGCCGCTAGACGAACGATTAGCAATGCAATTCGTTTTATGAAGAGAAAAGTGCCAAAAGGAGTAAAATGTGCACACATCGATATTACAGCTATTAAAGAATAGGTGAATTATGAAAATAAATGAATTCAGAAGAAATTTTTCTTTGAAATCAGTTTCCCGCGTATATTTAATTCAATTAGTCCGGTTTGAAACAGGTATACTGGCAGAACAAATTACGCGAAGTATTTCCGTACTGAATTTTTATCAAAGTTGATTCACTTGTAATAAGTACTTGTTTTCTATTTCATATTCACCATGTGAAGGCCAAGAAACGCTTTTTGAAGAAGCTATACACAGAGATGGTAATCATTTTAAGCAACTGGCCGAAAATTACTTCAAGAAATGCAACAACATGTTCAAAACTATACGTATTTTCATACCTCCGTTTTCGCTTTCTGGATATAGGTAGGAAACTTATCACTATTAGCTTTTATACTGGTCTTAACTGTGCTTCAAGATATCAGTCATTCTGACTGATATCTGACATTCTGTCTGACAGAATACCATCTGGTCATTCTGTTATAAATAGTTATCTGTTAATTAAGACAGAGCACTAAAATTAACTTGTGAATCCCAAGACTATCTTGCTTAAGAGATTGCAGTGTAGAGGACTTTCTAAGGAAAATTGGCTCATAGTTACATCCAGAAACCATGAAAAAGCCTATGGAGATAGCCGACACCAGTATTCAAACCCAAAAAAATTATTAGGATTCAAATGTCTCATTCATTTGACCAGTGGTGGTTCCGGTTAAAAATACATTCAGTGCTAGTAATTACGGCATCAATGCTTGTCCTTTGTATATTCAAGTAAAGCAAGTTGCATTCACTTCCTACTGGAATTACTATTGCAGCTAAGAAATACTTTATCATTCCCATTTCAGAATACCCGCCAAATAATTTTTAACGGCAAGATATGTACTTTTTTTTTACCATTTCCGTCGAGAAAATATCGGCGAAAGCGTACTAGTGTTTTCAGCGCCCGGGGACATCTAAAGATTTCGCGCTTGCTTCTGTTTGCCAAAATGCAATGGGAATCGGAAAGAAACTTATGAGTACTGCTTTCCAGGGTAGAGTTCCCCCCCCTAACTACGCCACTGCATTTGGTCTATGGGAACAACATTCGAATATAACCACGAGATCTGCAAAATGCCTTCACGAAGAGCTTTATAAGAAAAACTGGTTCATTCAAGCTGTACTTGAGGAAATCCCCGAAAACGAAGCTTGCAGCCAATCTGTTAACCTCGGATTTATCCATGGTCGAAATATCAGCAATCAGCGGTCTTATCCACCTGGTACTACCTGGCAGCTGATAGTGCACCTTTCATGCAGTATTAAATCTATTAAAGCTGTACAGGCGAGAGTACCTCACAATAGACATGAATGATACTTTCGCTTATAATTGCTCAAATTAAAGGGATTTCAGATCTTTCATTACAAGACAACGTGTGCCGAACAATGTTCTTCAGCCAGGAAACATTTTCGTAAGCTCATTTCAACTTGGATAAAATTTTTCTGAATATAATAAATATGTTTCTTAGATTAGTTATTGGGTCCGAAAGTTCAGAGGCTTTTTGATTAAAAAACAAATGAAACAGTAAAAAATCTTAAGCAACTTCCTTTGAATTGGCTCCATTTCATTCTACGACTTTACCATTTCTCAGGCAGCTGGAAAATTGCTTTTCTAAAAATTTATTAGGCTTATTCGTAAAGCAATTATAGCACGCTGTTTGACAGTCTCCGAAGAAATTAACTGCAATCCAGTTAGAGAATGTGAACTGACATGAAGAGATGAAAATCAGAGACGGCAAAGTCTAATGAATACGAGAAATGACAAAAATTTCGGCAACACTAAGTTTTTGGCATTCATCTAAATGTGTAGACGAACTTTATGATGCAAGTCAACATCTTGAAGACTGATCAGTTCTGGACACTTTGCTTCGATTAATTTTTTTAAAACTGCTATTTGGGAGCAGAATTACATTATAGAAAAGATCAATCCAAACATAATATTTGGGAGCAGAGGTTTTCCAAATTTATTGTCCGATTTGGTGGCAACACAATTTACAGTAAACTATTTGTAATCCCACAACACACAAAGCATTGATTTTAAGGGATGCGGGCCCCCATCTCGATGCTACAAAAGGAGGAGGTTCTGGTTTTCCCGCGATCTTTTCCTGTAACATTGTACAGTATCCATTTCTCATCTCCTGTAATGAGCCGCTTGAAAAAAGGAACTTTGTATTTTTTTTAACAAAGAATCACATGCCAAAACTCGAGCAAGCATATTTTGCTGTTAAAGTATGAGATACCCATACATCCTAGCAGCTGGGTCTCGGTCTTCTTTAAATGATCATG